ATCGGCACATCAGTTGGTGAGATTGACCCTCAGGCTGATTGGCTGTGGGGTTTGGCCACACCCACAGATTATAGGCTGCTGTGCAGGGGGCTTACCCCACTGAGTGGGATTCACCCCAGGGGGCTCTGGTGCCTGTTGAGACCACCCTTTGTGCGTGCCACTTGTGGGGCTAATTGGGCAGTGCTCTGCTGTGGTCTGAGCCAATCTCCAAGTATGTTGGTTCTGGGGCAACTCTTGCAAGGGCCTCTGGTTCAGGCCTAGGTCACCCACTGCTTGTGATTGGCTGGGGACTACCTGGTAGGAGCTACAAAGTGATTGCAGTTGCTTGCTGCCTGTACTAACCCTGAAGGCACATGGGAGAGTCCACACTGTGAACCGAGGATGACTGCCACCAGTATTGGGCCTGGGGTAGCTCCTCAAAATGCCAGGACACCTGAGGCTTGCTGCTACCTGCCAGCTTTCTTAAGGTTCAGCAGCTGATAAAGCCTCGTGTAGTATGTAAATTGGGTGAAAGTGGGGGTCTCAGTGAGTCCCTACAGTGGGAAGAGTTGTGGTCAACAGGGTTAATGTAGACTCTAGTTTGGTGCCAGTGCTGAGCCTGGAGCTACTCAGCAAAAGTCTCAGAGCACACTGAGGTCAGTCATCACCCACCTGGGGCCTGTGGACTTTGATACTTTTCCAAGAATGCAATGTGGGCAGGGCTGGCTGCTAGTAGAGAAAGTGCCTCCCGCAGTGCATGAGTTGGGTGGGGCAGGTGCCCAGTGAGTCAGCAGGGTGGAGCAAGCAGAGCTCACCAGGCCAACCGGATTCAGATTTGGCCTGTGGAGGCGGGCTCAACACAGCAAAGATGGCGCCCGCCTACCGGCTGCACAAGAGAAGGACTCCACACAGAGAAAATTATAACTGTCCTCCAGCTCTTGTTCCAAAGCCACACACCTCAGTCAGCCCCACCGTATATCTCCAACACCCCCCAAGTTACTGTTGCTCTGCTGGAGCCCAAGGTGAGTGACTGCGAGTGAGAGTCTGTGCTCAGGCTGTTTAAGAGGATGTCTGGGTTTTCCACAGCCTTCCGTCCCACCCCAATAGTCGGAATCCCCACTGTTAGTCACAGCCAGATGTGGGGACTTCTCTTCCTGGCACCAGTACTCCAGGCTGGGGAGACTGGTGTGGGGCTGGGTTCCCTCATTCCTCCAGGGAGAGCCTCTGCGACTGAGATATTCCTCCTGGTTCTCAACCACCATATGGAGGTTTGGAGCTAGCCCATTTTGCATCTCTGCCCCTCCTAACATTCTTGACGTGGCTTCTTTTTTATATCCTTAGTTATAATATAAATCTTCTGTTCAGCTAGACTTAAGATGATTCTCCAGGTTAATTGTTCTATAATTTAGTTGTAATTTTAATGTGTTCATGAAAGGAAGCAGGCACAGTGTTTATATATTCTGCCATCTTGGGTCCTGGATTCTTTTTTCTTTTTGCTGTTCTGATTGGGTGTGTTTTTTTTTGCTCCCTTGTCTTCCAAATTGCTGATTCAATTCTCTGCTTCATCTAATCTACTGTTGATTCCCTCTACTGTATTCTTCATTTCAGTTATTGTATTTGTCATTTCTGACTGGTTCTTTTTTATGTTTTCTATCTTCATTTTTATGTTTCCTATCTCTTTGTTAAAGTTCTTACTAGTTCCTCTACTCTTCCCCTAAGTTCACTGAGCATCCTTATAACCAGTGTTTTGAATTCTGCAACTAGTAGGTTGCTTGTGACCATTTTGTTTAGCTTTTTTTTCTGGAGTATTATATTGTTCTTTTATTTGGGAAATGTTTGTCTCATTTTGGCTGACTCCCTGTGTTTTCTTCTAGATCTGCCACATCTCCCAGTCTTGGTAGAGTGGCCTTATGTAGTAGGTGTCCTATGGGGGCCCCGTGTTCTGTCTCCCTGGTCTCCTGAGCCATGTGCTCCAAGTGTGTTCCTTGTGTGTGCCTTCCTATTGTAGTTGAGCCTTGATTGCTATTGGCACATCAGTGGGAAGGTTTGACCCTCATGCTGATTGGCTGTGAGTACTGGCCATGACTAGAGTGGAGAAACTGTTGTGCAGGAGCTGACCTGAAGGTACAGGATTCACTTCCGCGAGGCTCTGGTTCCTGCCAAGTCTTCCCTTTTTGTGTGAGCTCTGACTCTGCTGTCTGCTCATTTACCCGCCAGTACCATCTCCTCCATCCTGGGCACCTGACTGGATCAGTAGGTGGAGGGTTCCTTCCACTCTCCATACTTTCCTTGCCTGAAACAGCTGGTGGCCTTCGTATGTCTCAACCTGCCCAGCTTGGAGCTGGAGTGCTGTGTTCAGAGCCAGCTCTAGTATCATCTCAAGTTAGCTTCAAAGCTAAAACCGACACCAGCTCCAGTGAGAGCATTAGCCCTAGCACCAGCTCCAGTACTAGAATCAGCCCTAGCACCAGCTCTAGGACTAGAGGCAGCACTAACACTAGTTATAGCATGAGCTCCAGGGCCAGAGCCAATGACAGAGCCATTGGCAAGTCCAGAGCTAGTACCAGCTCCAGCCCAAGCTCTAACAATCAGAGACGGGGCTAGAGCCAGCTGTAGGACTAGAGCTAGCTTCAGAGGTAGAAGGTCCTTGGATGTATCTAATAACCAGCTGCAGGACCACACCCAGGTGTAGCTCCAGTTCCAGTGTCAGTTCCAGATCTAGAGCCAGTGCCAGCTCAAGCTAGAAGCAGCAGCAGCACCAAATCTAGCACTAGAGCCAGTGCTAGGTCCAGAGCTAGCTGTCAGTTCTAACATCAGAGACAGAGCTAGAACCAGCTCTAGGGTTTTCTTTAGGTATCTGAGCATATTTAAGACAGTTCCTTTAAAGTCTTGTTTAGTAAGTCCAATAACTGGGCTTACTCAGGGATAGTTTCTGTCCATTTTTTTCCCTTTGAATGGACCACAATCCTGTTTCTTTGTATGATTTTGTTGTTGAAAATTGGATATTTATTTCAATTTTATTGGGGAACAGCCATGGTCATTGGTTACACATTGCTTTCATGCTACAATGGCATAGCTGACTTTTAAGGAGGGCGCAGCTCCCAGTGGTCCATGTGGAAATCAAACCAGCAACCTTGGTGTTATCAGCACTCTAGCCAACTGAGCTAACTGGTCACCCTGAAAACTGGACATTTAAATACTGCAATATGGTAACTCTGAAAATCAGTTTCTCCCCCTTCCCCAGGGTGTGCTATTTTTGATTACTGAAGGCTGCAGTCATCTGTTCGTTTGGTTGACTTTCCCAAAATATTTTTGCAAAGAATGTCATCCTTTTCATGCGTGGTCACTTTAAGTGTCTGTTGAGCTAGTATTTTGACAGAGACTTCTTGGCTAGTGGGAGCTAAAAGCAAACAAACAAAACCCCATCTCTCCCAGACTGGCTCTGTGCTGGCACACTCCTTTAACACTTAGCCAGGCAGTTTCGAACTCTGCCTCTACTTCCTCCTTGGACTGAGCCCAGAGACCAGCCAGAGGTAAAAGCTCAGGGTCTTCTCAGGTCTTTTCTGAGCATGCATCCTGTTCTGGCCATGCACAAGGCTTTCTAGATTCCCTAGCATTCACTGTCACGCCACCAGACCTGGTCAGGCATCCACCTGAGCTCTCTCAGCTCAGCACCTGAGCACACCGCTTTAGCACACCTACAGAGCGGAGCTGAGTAAGAACAGGCCCAAGGCCTACACGCAAGCCAAGCCAGCTGGCGGGGAGACTTCAGTTACCCAGGGCAGCATTTCCCCAAGGTTAGGACTCCTAACCCACATCCGGGGTCATTTTCAGTGGTGTAACAAGGCATTAAATAACCTCAAGCCTTAATAGTGAGAAAGTTATTTCCCTTCCAGTTCCTATTCCATCTTTCCAATTTTATGAAGGAGAAAAATCCCAGTTGGTTGCTAGTATGTCTAACTCCTGTAACATCCCTTAACCTCCCTTTGTGCCAAGAGCAAGCCTCAAGCTCAGTCCCTGCAGGTCACAGCCTCGAGCTGCCATTTCATAACACTGCTTGGTTTTTATTGGGTTCATAAAACACTCTTTTAAAAATGCATTAAATTTAAAAAGTGAGTCAATTTTTAAAATATTAAGTAATTCACAGTATAAGAAATACAGAGATGTGGCAAAAATCATGAAGGTGATATGCTGACAGCTGAACATTGAGGACTTTTGGCTCAATAACTTTCTATCTCATGCTTTTGTGATTCCAGGGTTTTGTGTGTTCAACTGGTTGTTGTTCCCTAATATAGACTATTTTTTAAAAACCTCAACCTTATTTTAGCTGTCTGAGGGGAAAGGGATTTATTTTCATCTGGGTTAAGACAAGAAAAACAGAAGGGCCCTAGCAATTAGGTACAACTGGCAAATAGAAAAGTGATGATGTGGAGTAAAATGAAAAACCAGGAGCAGAAGATTCCAGTATAGTGGAGAGAGCTGCTCCATTCGCTGCAGGCTCTCAAATACAAATCTGGAAATTCAGTTAAAAATATCTTCTTGGGCCGGTCGAGTGGCGCGATGGTTAAGAACTGGCTTGGGACACCAGAGGGCCCCGGTTCGGATCCCACATATGAGGGCCAGTGACACTGCCCTCTACAACTAAGATAGTGAGCTTGACCTGGGGCTGGGCTGCTGTGAGTCGCCGGCGACGGCATTAGGCTGCAGCCCCTGTGGCAGTGGGTTGCCATAAGCTACCAAGTGTAGCCGGCAGCCAGCGTGAGCGGCCAGCAGCCTCCGTGAGCGGCCATCCAGAGGCTGGCGACTGATCTGCCTCGCCCGGGAAGAGTACAATGAATAATGGTGCCAACTTGGGCCAGTGAAGCAACATCCTCCACAACTAGACTGAAGAACAAAACAACAGCCACTTGTCTGTTCCCCTTCCCCAGATTCCCCAGTGCTGTTCCCCTCCCCCAATTCCACAATAAAATCTTAAAAAAAAACAAAAACAACTTCTTATAATGGAGAAAACAGAAAGGGGGAAAGCTGCAAAAAAAATATTTTAATGTTTATCTTTTCTTTTTTAAAAAGTTATAAAATTTAAATAGCTGATTCAGTTAAAAATCTAGTGTTGCAAAATTTAACCAATTTACAAGACTTCTGAATCTCTTGAGTCCGAGTCCAATACTCTTTCCACTTTGACCCTTCATTTTTTATAGATCCTACACTTTCAGGTTTTTCTTTAGAAAACACAGTCCGAAGTAATTTGTAAGGAAAGGAACAGTACTTCAAGTGTCCAGAGCTCTGGCTGAGGCAGCAGGAGGCCTGGTGGGACGGGGTGCCCCACGGAGGCCACACCTGGGTGAGCCGACTGCTGCCAGCACTCTGCACAGGACCTGTGAGGCGGCCCTGGGGCTCATTCCTTGCTCTGTCAGTCCTCCTGGTCTTTCCTGGGGACTGCCGACCTGCCCCGAGTTTGGCTCTCCTTCCAGTGGCCAGCCACATCCTTGGCTTCATTCTACTTTGATTCTGGTCAGCTGCCATCTTCCTTCTCCACAGAGTTTCAGATTCAAGGAGTGAAACTACAAGAGACCGCCACCACACAGAGATTAGACTGCCCTGGCCACACCAACAGGAGGCCAAGGACCCCCCACCCTCTCTGCCACCCCCACTGTCCATTTTGAGGGGCCCTGGCCCTTGGGTTTTGTTCTCCTCCTTAGCCATCCTTGTGAGCACAGGTACCTTCTCAAGGCTGCGTCGATGTCCCACGCTGATAAACGTAATGCCCAGCTGCTGGCCGATGCGGTACAGCTCGCTCTCCACCTCCTCCGTCAGGGCACTGGTGGCTTCATCAAGCACTGAGGGCAGAACCCCATGGGAAGAGATGGTGTCCTGCCCCTGCCTGCCTCTGCTTCTCCTCCAACCCAAACTCATTTCTGCTTCCGGTGGGGACCCAGGGGGAAGCTGAAAGCTGCTCTGGCTTACAGAAGCCCTGCCTTAGAAAGGATGGGCCAAAGGAGCAGAGGCCAGGCTCCATCTGGGAAGCCTTCTTCCAGCAGCAGGACAAAACCCCTCAGCTTCCTCTAGATAAGCAGCAGCCACTGCCTGCAACCGCTCAATTCAGGGAGTCCTGATTCCCCCAAGGATGCCAGTCCCTGGAAAAGTCCACAGCTGCCAGCCCTCTGCCAGGCACAACTGGAGGGATGCCCGTTCATGGATGACACAGCATAAAATCACATGCCCTCTCAAGGCAGCTCCAGCTGCTGCAATGGCAGAAAGCTTAGGAATCTGGAGAAGGACACATCCAGAACCGCTCTTAGGGTGCCAAGCACTGCTGCCCCATGGGCAGAGGCCTTCCATCCTCTCCTGCAGGGACAGAGATGCCCAGCCATGCACAGGTGTGGTCTCCTACCCATATCAACTGCCTCAGGTGTGCATGAACACATGCTGCTACACCTGTGAGCACACACAGTACCTGGCATGCGTACCTACAGGGCGGACCTCACCTGCATACTTAGGCTGCAAGTAGAAAAGCCGGGCAAAAGATAGCCTCTGCATCTCTCCTGGAGACAGAACATCATACCTGAGGAAAGGGGGTGAGAGAGGACCGCTGGAGGAAGGATATAGCTTGGCTTTGCCTTGAATGGGTCTGGCCAAGAAGAGGTTCTCGATACAGAAAGGCTGGCCCCAGGACAGATGGACAGCACTCCCCTTTCAACCACAGCCCCCCTGCCCATACAAAGTGATGCCAAAACTCTGCTCCCAAAGGCATGAAACCTGGACTTTGGGATCAGGAGCCATTCTATCCCTTCACTGGGCCCCTGGAACCCACTGTTTTGGGGGGAACTGGCTCTGGAGCACCCCATCCCCTTTCTTACCAGTTCCAATCGACCTGATGGTCCAGACCCTCTGTCCTTGCCACCAAGTCAGACTGTAACACACCCAGAAGAAACAATGTCCATAAAAGGGCCCATCTCTGCTTCCTGCCACCCTGAGGCACTGCCTTGGTCCCACCACACACATGCTTCTGAGACAGATCTGCAACCCCAGTGGAGTACCAAGCTGAGGGCTATGGGAGCGATCTGCCCCGGAGAGGAATAGCCTACCAACTCCATTGCATACATTTGTTGGAGCATGGTGACAAGAAAAAGCACGCTTTCTTTATAATAGTTTTATGATTGTTTCAAAATTCACTACAGAGCGTACTCCCTTGTTGCCCGTACCTGGGCAACAGTTCCTTCTGCCGCTTTATACGCCCACTCTCCCTGCCTGGGGCTCATACTTCCAGTCCTGGGCCTGGGGACAGTGGGGCCGGCTCTCCTGGGCCAGCACCTGTGGTCTGTGCTACCAGCTGGGCTTGGGCCTCAGGGTCCCTGTCCTCACTTACCAGGCCTGCCAACTCCAAGAACCTCATGATCCTCTCATCATCAGTAGAACCTACAAAACAGAGAGGCCTTCTTTAAGAAGTCAGCTCCTTCTGGGTAGCCAGAGTCGATGGGCACAGCATGACAGGGGCGGTAGAGGAGGGGGCCTCAAAATCTGGGCTAAGGCTCTGAAGTGACAGGTTACAGACCTAATAAGGGAAGGGCCAGGTGAAGTGGGTAATCATGTCCCTTCCTCCAGGAACTCTCCTCAAGGAGGGGAAGACAAGACAAGATGAGGTCAGGGTACAGGCCCCAGACAGTAAACGGGAGGAGGAGGAGGAGCAGCATGTCTGGGGCCTCGTCCAAAGGGCACAGCTAAGGCTACAGTCAGAATGAGTATGAACAGCTGAGATGGGAGGCCACGCCCCAAGGAGGCTAGCTCACCTGAGTCCGGGTAGATCTCCTTCAAGGGATATATCACCTGATAAAACAAAAACCATGGGCCTAGGACAAGGGCCAATGAGAAGTGGGGCTGCCCACAGCCCACCCGCCCTCAGAAACAGCCCCAGGAGCTGCTAGGGGCCAGGCTCCTCTAGGGGAGTGAGGAATGTCCTGGCTGAGGGTTCAGAGGGAGAGGCCAAGCCAGCACACAGTGGGGCAGGGTCACCGTGACCTCCAGATGTGTGTCTGGGGGAAGTCTGTGAGCCTCATGAGGGCAGGGACCCCAGAACCCAACCCTGATGTTCAACAAGTGCGTGTGATCTTTGGCTTGTTGGCTTCACAGCTTAGCCTGCCCCCGGAGTTACTCTGAGTACACGGCGCAATCCACGGATTGAGTAAGTGTTCTTAGGGCCAGGGAACTCCTGAGCACAGGACGTCTTATTACCCCACCTCTGCCCCTAACACCCTACGGCTAAGACCTGTCATAGTACCAGAAGCCCTGGCTGGGGGGTGAAGAGTGAGCCCCTGAACTGCGCTGACCTGCTCCCGAAGGGTCCCATCAGTGAAGAATGGTTTCTGTGGCAGGAACAGCACCCCGTGGGGTCCAAAGTCCGTCAGCATCTGCACTGAGCCTGCAGAGCCCACAGAAACCTCCATTTTGAGATCTTCCAGAGAAGGTAACTGCTCCTCACTCCCTTTCCCCAACAAAAGCTGGATTCTAATGCACACACCTACACACACACACACACACACGCGCACACGCACACACGCATGGCTAGCCTTCTTAGAGGCAGGGAGGGCTGCTTCTCACCCCGTGTGCTCTTCCAGAGGCCGCCCAGAACCCGGAGCAAGGAGGTCTTGCCAGTGCCCGTGTTGCCTGTGATGAGCAGGCTCTGCCCCTCGGAGATCTTCAGGCTCAGGTCCTCGATTAAGGGTTTGTTAGAGGAGGGAGCAGAGATGGAGACCCGCTCAAGAAGGAAAGCTGTGTCTGTTGGCTCTGCTGCTGGCCATCCTGGGGCGCTGGGGTCAGAGAAGGAAGGTGGTGTGTGGAGAAGATAAGCAGTGTCAGGATTGCCAGCTGGAGGGGGCTTCTTCTCCGTGGGGGCATCACACCTGGATTGGAGGGCTGTTATGGGCTGAACTGGGCCCTCAAAATCATATGCTAAGGTCCTAACCCCTAGTGCCTCAGAATGTAAATCATTTGGAGAACGGGTCTTTAAAGAGGTGATTATATTAAAATGAGGCCCTTCAGGGCCAGCCGAGTGGCGCGTTGGTTAAGAGTTGGCTTGGGACACCAGAGGGCCCCGGTTCAGATCCCATATATGAGGGCCAGTGACACTGCCCTCTACAGCTAAGATGCTGAACAACAGCTCAACCTGGAGCTGGGCTGCCGTGAGTCACGGCAACGGCATAGGCTGCAGCCCCTGCTGCAGTGAATTGCCATGGGCTACCATGTGTAGCCAGCAGCCAGAATGATCGGCCAGCAGCCAGTGTGAGTGGCCAGCAGCCGCAGTGAGCGGCCATCCAGAAGTCGGCAACTGATCTGCCTCGCCCAGGAAGAGCACAATGATAGTACCAACATGGGCCAGTGAAGCGACGTCCTCCACAACTAAACTGAAGAACAAAAGGACAGCAACTTGTCTGTTCCCCTTCCCCAGATTCCCCAGCGCTGTTCCTATCCCCCAATTCCCCAATAAAAATCTTTTTAAATGAATAAATAAATAAATAAAATAAAATGAGGCCCTTCAGATAGGGCCCTGATCCAATATGATTGGTGTCCTTTTAAGAAAAGCGAGAGGTACCAAGGGTGTATTGTACATGCAGAGAAAAGGCCATGTGAGGACTCAGTGAGAAAATGGTTATTTGCAAGCCAAGAAAGCAGGGCTCAGGAGAAATCAACATGCTGACTCCTTGATCTTGGACTTTCAGTCTTGAGAACTGTGAGAAAATAAATGTCTGTTGTTTAAGTCACCCAGTCTGTGGGATTTTGGTATGGCAGCCCAGGCGGACTAACACAGAAGTGGAGTTGGGGCACCTACTTTGTGCCAGGCTGGGCAAAGCCCCACACATGACTAATCTTAGTCTTAACACTCATGCATCACGGATATTATCTCCCACTTGGCAGAGGAGGAAACCAAGTCAGGTAGCTAAGCAGCTTGCTCAGGGCCACAGAGCTGAATTTGTCTAATTCTAATGTTGTTTTCATGGCATTGCAGTGTGACTAGAGGACTGAGGATAAGAATGGGAGTCGTAATAAATAGTTTTAAAGTTTCTGGCTGTCCATGGATGCCCGTCTACCCCAAAGAACAGCAACTCTGTTTCCTATGTCCCTGCACCTTCACCCCAGCCTCTGATCTCAGTTACATGAAGCTTTTATTCTGAACAGGGGCAACAGTTCCTAAGAAGTGAGTGTAGGCCCTAGAATTCGGACTCTTTCCATTTTTGAGAGCTTACTCTGTGACCACTGTCCAAGCACTTTCTAAGAACTATGATATCTAATTCTCACAACAACCCTAAGAGGAAGGTCATCTTTCTAGAAATGAAGAAACTGAGACCCAGAACCCTTAAGTAATTTGCCTAAGAAAAGTGAGGACGTGAAACAAATCCTCAATGCGCAGAAAGGTCAGAAACATCACAGCCTATAAAGATACAGGAATAAAGACATCTCCGGGCCTGAGTGAGGCATGGGGACAAAGAACAGAAAATCCTGAGCAAAGGGGCAGGTGGAGGGGCTCAGTGGGAGGAGGAGGGAGAAAGAGAGGGGCTCCTACTCAGACTTGATGTCGTATGAGGCCTTGGCAGTGTTTGCATTTTGCTCCCAGCAGGTGGGGGATGGTGGAAATTAGCACCGTGGATGCTAGAACAACAATGCTGATTGTGAACGCTTGTAACGTGCCTGGCACAAGACACACATTGCTTTCATTTGCCCCGCACAACTCTGCTGTCCAGCTGGGAAAGGGCAGGCCTCCAGCGTGAGCCCAAGCTGGGCGGTTCCAGAGCCTGCATTCTCAAGTGCTGCACACACTGCCAGCCCACGACTCACCTGTGCAAGTCCCACTCACTCTCATCCAACATCTCATCATCCTGTGACTTCAGGGACATGGCAAGCAGGGTATCCTGAAGCTCCCCGATCCTGGGCAAGAGGTGAAAACCTGAGGTGGGTCTGGGGGCCCAGGTGAAGGCGATACTCCTGTTTCTCTCACACCCACTAGTATATGGGGAGGTTTTCTGTTCCTTTTCTCATTCAGCTACTGCTCTGAGGCACACACTTTGTTCGGGGAGTAAAGGGGCGGGACGCAGCCTCACCTGTATGTGTAACCAGCCACATCCGAGAACGTGGTGGAGAGGTCGATGAGCCGGGTGAAGCAGCTGATGAGGTAAATGCACACAAAGGCATTCTGAACGGAATGGATGGCAGTGAGCACAGGCCTTGACTCCCAGGCCCTGGGCACTGGGCCCAAGGGCAGAGGGGCCCGTGCGCGGTCACCAGGGGGGATTCTCACCTTGCTGACCAGGGTGCTGAGCTCGGTGGGGCTCAGGTCTCCATAGACGCCACTGAAAATGGGGATTGCGATCACCACATAGCTCAGGATGCTGCCCAGGTAGTCAAACGTATTGACACCGACTGCAGGAGACAGGCTGCGTGAGACCCGGGAACACTCCTGAGGGGAGCGGGAAGCCAAGCAGGGCTGAGCTACTCCCCAGGTCCTCCTTCTGCTGGGGAGATACACTGCAGAGGCAGTGCCTCCTCCTGGCTAATTCCTCCATCAGGGCAAATGCATTGGTGCAGAAAGAAGGACAGGGGTGAAGGAAGGGAAGGGGGCTACTCCGATCCTGGGATTCCTGCCTCCCGGGGTTCCCTCTACCTACTGTACAGCCAGAGCTCCTTGGACATCAGCTCCCTCTGGGTCTGAAGGAGTCTCTGCAGCCTGCGGTCTGTCCTCATGTGTTCCACGTGCCCAGCTCTGAAGACAAAGGCTGGGTGTCCATGGGACCTGGAGAGCCTCAGCCAGGCTGGGGGCCCTCTGTCCCTCATTACACCCTCCTTTAGGGACCAAGCCCATCCAAATGATCTTCACCTCAGACCCTTTCTGTCACCAGCACCCATTCATTGCTTCATTCACTCAATACAGCATTGCCTATGGAAAGAACCTGAACTCTAGACTGGGCCGACCTGATTCAAATCCTGGCTCTGGCCAGTAACTAGCTGACATGTTGCTTACGAGTAAGTCTCGGAGTTTCAGTTTTCTCATGTATAAAATGGAGGTTATAATACCTACGTGATAGGCCAGAGTGAGAATTTCTGAATATAAAGTGCCAGGCACTTAACAGGCCCTCGATAAATAATAGCTGCTATTATTAAACAAATATACAGGGAGCAGTCGCTGTGTGGCAGGCTCTGTGCTAGTCAGGCAGTATGAGAAAAAGGAGGTAACACAGTCCCCATCTTGGAGGAGCACCCAGTTCAGAGGGGTAGACAGGTACACTGCATTCTTCCCCTGGAAATGGAAACTGTTATGTAAGCAGCATCTCCAGGGATATGGCAACAAACAGGCTTGACCACTAAGGGAGTCTGGGAAGGCTCCCAGGAGGAGGTGACTTGGGGCTTCAAGGATGGGCAGAAATTCTCCTGGCAGAAAAGGCAGAGGGAGTATTTCAGATTTTACATAAGGAGGGACACAGAGCCCACAGAAGAATACACTCAGAGCTCCAAGAACCAATCTGCCTTCCTGAGCCGAGAGCTTCATGAGTAGAGGCTGCAGAATCCAAAACCGCTTAGCACAGGCCTAGGCCTACCCACCACACAACAAGCCTCATCTCTGAGTCCTAGTAGTCTTGGCACCCCAAGTTGCGGCGCTGCAAACTGCCAGAGATTCGCAGAAGAGCAAAGGTCCCGAGGCAATTGGATCCAGGTACAAGAGTTATTTTCATTCCTTAAACACAAGCCTCTGGGGCCGGCTGCTCCCGTCTCCTCCAATGCTACAGAGATAATCAGTCCTGGACATCAGGCACTGACAGAAAGCCATTTTACAGACAGAAAAACAGAGGCAGAGGCAATGCCTTACAGTCATCAGCAAGACAAGGAAACATTCACTCACTTCATGCTTGGAACGAATGTAGGCCCCACGGTAGGCCACCATGAGGAGCCACTCGCTTCAGAAGCAAATCCCTGGACCGATGGATGAGGCAGACAAGGGCAGTGAGAAACACGGGGAGAGGGTCAGAGCCAAGCGGAGGATGCTCGACCCCTGGACTAGGTGATGGCGGGAGGACTGTGCCACCGATCCTGCCTTCTCTGCCTTCGCCACTAGCAGATCTGACAAGACAGAAGGGGAACTACCCCACTAGACTCACCTGAAAAAAGCAGCAGGCTCAGCATTCACCCGGATCTGCATGTGTTTGAACCTGGCAGATCAAAGGGAAATGTGTGCTGACCACGGGCAGTACTGGCCCCGCTCCTCTCAGAGGCCTGGATTAAGACCTCCAGACAAGGGCTGGCTGAGTGGCTCAGTTGGTTAAGAGCTCGCTCAAGGGTTTGAGCTCTGAGCAACAGCGGTTCGAGTCTGGCCCAAGCTGAGCAGCCACTGAGCTGCCAACAGGTGGCAGGATGGCTCAGCTAAAAAAAAATAAAAATAAAAATAAAAAAAGACCTCCAGACAAAGAGGAGCCCAGCTCCACCTTGCAGCTGGCTGCCTCCGCCCGACCCTTTCCTGAACTGTCAGGTGGGGAATCCTAGGCCTGGGTAGGATGGCAGGAGCCCTGCAGACAGGGCAGCCCCTTGTCTCGCTCGAGAGAGAACAGGTGTCCCCAGTGCCTCCTCCTCCCAGTGCTGGGCCTGCAGGAGGCGGCCATGAAGCACTGAGTAGGGGCTGGATCCGTCGGCTGACCCGAAACAGGGTGGTTGGAAGAGAAGCATGTGAGAAGGCCACGGGGTGATGATGACGATGGCCAACCCGCCACCATTCTCATGCTTCTCATGTATAATCCCGCTAATCCTCCTCACAATTCTCACGTAGCAGTACCGTCCTTATCTCAGAGGTGAGAAACCAAGTTTAGCAGATTAAAGACCTTGGCCAAGAGCACATGGCTAGTGACTGGCATAGCTGGGATTTGAACGTAGGCGTCCTTGCTCCAGAGCCCATTCCTTAACCATTTCGCCCAGCCCCAGAAACCTCAAGCAAGGGAGACACACCTGAAATCTCCTTCCAGCTTTTCCTGCTGCACCAGCTTCGCCACAATAGGCCCCATCAACACTTTATTCACCAGGGTTCCAAGGATGAAATACCCGAAGATGCTCACAGGCCCGAGCCAGCCTGTGCTGAAAGTCAGAGAGAGGCAGGATGGGAGGCGCCACATATCCCGCAGGCCTCAGCCTGACTCCTGCCCCCTTCAGGCAGCCCGTTCAATCTCAGTGGCCTGTGGGGCCTCTGCTCCTGTGTGGCGGCATCCAGTACCCGGTCTGAGCTGTTGGAGCACGGGATCCCTGTGACACTGAAACATCACAGGGCCAAAGGGAGGGCGAGGGCCCAAGCATGCGAGCTAGGAAGACTTCCTGGGGTGCAGGTGGGGGGGAGGGAAGGCTAGCCTCTTTTGGACCCTGACCTGGGAGAGCCTGTGAGTGAGGGACCTCTGGAGAAACACCTGGTGGGGGAGGAGGAGGGATTCTAACAGGAGAGGAGGCTTCACCTTTGGAAGCACTGATAGGTGTAGTAGACGAGGGTGAAGGGGGAGATGATGAGCTGGCTGGCCATGCTGCTCAGTTGCCGGCAGAACCTCTCCACGTCCTGGCTGATGCGCTGGTCCCTGGAACCAACAGCACAGAGTAACTGGACCCAGGCAGCAGGGCTCGAGGGTTGAGAAGGCTAAGAGAGTTCCACGTTACCTCCTATTCTGACCTTTCAGTGCTGTCAGCAAGGACCCCGTGGGAAGATGGACAAGGACAAGGGCTGGTGTCCCAGAGGCAACGAGACCCTCAGGACCCCTACACAGGGCTCTGGAGAGTTGCTTCTTATGGTGCCTCGGGTTACCCCTCGGAAAAAGTGGCAACTGAAAGGTCCGGCACCCAGGGTTCCTGAGCCCGTTCTGAGGGTAGATGAGCTGAGTTTCTGGATGACCAGGAAAGCTATCCCATTTATCTCACACCCCCCAGTCTCTCTCTTGTGAGCCTGCGCCTGCCTCCATTGTAGCCATCTGGCGGGAGAAGCTCCTATGGGTTGAGACATAGAGAACTAGAAGAGACAGTTCAGCAGCAGCAGCAAGAAACTTTGCTGCAAAGCTCAGCTTGAGCTGAGGAGAGGTTGCCCCAGGCAACAAAGTGCTTGGGAGGGTGGTGAGTGGGGAGGGAATGTGTGAGGAGTGACCCCATATGTCCCATCGCACCACCAGGGCCACAGTGACTCCGATCCCCAAGGAGACATGACCTTGGACAAGTCACTTACATTCTCTGGGCTTTCCTCATCTCTAAAATCACACCAGGTAACTTACATTAGAACACTTGCTATGTGCCAGGCACTGTACATGTGTTACATGAATATCATTTCATTCTCACCATATCCTTTGAGATGGGAACTATTGTTATCCTCACTAACCTGGGGCTTAATGAGCTTAAGGTTTATGAGCTGAAAGGTGACAGAATAAAGATTTAAATCCTAAACTGAGTCCTGAACAGCAATTTTTTTACTGCCAAAAATCCGAGAGCTGGTTTTCTAGCTTTTTCTAGCAAGGACACTCTGTTCAGAGGGGCCCTGATCTGGAAGCCCAGGATATGAAATGGACAAAAGGAGCGGCTCCTGTATTTCAGCTCCCTATTCTCAGCCCTGCAGCCTCTCCAAGGGCCCTCTGCAGAGGCCCTCCTCCCACGGCTCTTGTCGACACTTGCACATAACCTTAGATGATCTCCAAGGGGTCTGCACAGGGGCTCTCCAGGGCTGAGCCGGACAGACAGAACCATGCAGAGGATAGTGAGGACTGAGCAGGGGTGCCTACGGGTTGTCGACGTCATCCCGCAGCACGTTGAGGGTGTAGTACACGCGGCCACGGAAGTAGAGGTGGTGGAGGTGCTCGGTGAGATCCTTCCTCCAGCTCACATACAGCAGGTTGCAGGTGAACTGGTCAAAGCTCTTCAGCTGTGCAGTGGGGGAGGAAGGGGAAGGGAGGGAAAGGGAGAATGGCTTCCTACAAGCCTCAGGGCAAAGCTCATGGCTGGCAGAAAGCCTCTGCTGACCAGTCCCAGATGACTCTTGTCAGCGCAGCACTTCTGCTTGTTTCAAGTGTCAAGTCAGGGATTTTCCCTTCCTCACTCACATATTCATTCCTTCACCGAATACTTAAGGGCCTACCAAAGGCAAGGCCCTCTAGCCCCCTTCTGTATTATACTGTCTTATTCTGAGAGCAGATGAACTTCTGGAGATCGGGGACAGTATTTCCTATTCCATTTATGCTCTTAGTTTTCTGTCCCTAAACCTGGAACAGGGTTTTGTATGCGTAGGTGCTTACTGACCAATGACCCCTCGAAAGTTCCAAAGTGCGGTGAGAAGTGGCTTCCCCACGAAAACAGGCAGTAGAGCCCGACAGAGAGCACTAGGCTCGAGTCCTAGCAGAGCCCTGACTCTCACCACTCACCATGTATGGGGCACTTACGTGCTAAGCACGAGGGAAGTAACAATGAGTTCAGTCTAGCCAGGAAACAGACGATTACAAGGGTGTACGGAGGGTTACAGCAGAGGGAAACTCAAAGTTTTAGTTAAGTAAAGGGCCAAGTTTGGTGGAGGAAACGTGAAAGAGAAAGCTGAGGCAGACCTGAAGGCGGTGATAACAGAAGAATCTTGAAGAGTGAGCAGGCATTAAACAAGTGAACAAGGGGTGGGGGATGGAGGCCATTCTGGAAGAAAACAACAGACACAAAGGCTGGGAGGTGCAGCCTCAGCCCCAGAGAGGAAGAGCAACCCTAACTGCTGATCCCAGTTTTCAAGTGCTCTGAGCTCCCTGAAGCAAGAGTTCTGGGAAGGGAGGGAACAATGATCATTTCTGGTGCATGCTGAATTAAACCGGAACCTCGTGGCCTAGTTCTGAGAGCTTCAAACACCCAAGGAATTGGTTCCAGTGGGCCAGTAGCAAGATCAATGCCCTCCCTAGCGTTCTGACCCCAAGTTCCGAGAAAAGGGAGGGGACACACACCCACAGCTTGATTCCTGCTTCCTGGTGGCTAAGTCCCACTGGGCATTCCATTCATACTAGGCTGGAAAGGAAGAGAGACACGGGGAAGACCTTACCATGGAGTTGAGAACGATGAGCACGACAGCCAGGAATGTCAGGGTCTTAAACCCATCCAAGTCTTTGCTTCCCAGGACCCCGTAGTACTGACTAGGGATCAAGCCAACCTGGTAGATCACCAGTTGTTCTGGGGGCAAGGAGAGGAGTCAGAAATCAGTGATCAGGGATGCGAAAAGGAGAGAGGCTTCCTCCTGAGTCCTTGCCTCATCAACACCCCAGAGAGAAGGAAGGGGACCCTAAAACCAGGGAGGCCCTCCCCCTCTAGCCTGGGCTCTCACTCACCCAGGAGGGCGACACACAAAAGGGTCAGGAACATCAAGGCATTCTGTGATGACCAAGAAGGAAATAAAACCTTCTGTATCTGCAGGAACCGCTGGAGAAACTGTAGATCTAACCTGGGCCTGAAGAAGAGAAGCAGGTGAAGCAGAGAAAAACCTAAGAGAGCAGCTGAGCCTTAGAGAGCAGTTATCAAGCTTAGCTACATTGTTGGGGAGGGGAGTGGTCCAGGACACGCACAAAGAATGGTTTACAAATGCTGAAGATGGTAGGATCAGAACAGACCAGGGATAGAAAGGAATTTCTTTAAGTTGATAAATGCTCTGAAAGTTTATTTCCAAAAATCTACAGCAAAAAACAGTTGATAAAGAAACTTTAGCTATGTCCTCTTTATGGTCACAAAGGAGACAAAGAAGCCCACTTCACTGGGATGTTAAAGTTCCTGCTAAAGCAATAAAGCAAGAAAAAGAAATGAGGTGAAAGGATTGAAAGGGAAGAGATTAAATTGTCATTATTTGCAGATGTGATCATTTACACAAGAAACACAGCAAATCGGTAGACAAAATGTAAATACAAGTTCAGTTATATACAGGGCTAACATACAAATATCAATAGTGCTCTATGCCAACAATAATCAACTAGAAAATATAAAGAAAATATCATTTGTAGGCTGGCCAAGTGGCTCAGTTCGTTAAGGGCTCACTCAAGAGTGTGAGCTCTGAGCAACAGGGTCCCTGGTTTGATTCATGGCCCAAGCTGAGCTGCCGCTGAGCTGCCAACAGGTGGCAGGATGGCTCAGCTTAAAAATAATAATAATAATAATAATAATAATATCATTTGCAAAAGTAAAAAAAGTATAGAAAAACTATAAAATATCCAGGGATAACTTTTAAAAAAGAATGACTAAGACATTTTGGAGGAAAAAACGAAAAGCTCGACTGTACACTAAAGCACTACTCTAAGAAGGAGACTTATGGCTTGGGAGCATGGGCTCTGAGCAGCAGGGTCGCCGGTTCGGATCCCACATGGGCCAGTGACGCTGCGCCCTCTACAGCTAAGATGGTGAACAACAGCTCAACTTGGAGCTGGGCTGCCGTGAGTCCTGGCAACAGTGTGGGCTGCAGCCTCTGCTGCAGTGGGCTGCCGTAAGCTACCGTGAGTGGCTGGTAGCCAGCGTGAGCAGCCAGCAGCTGGCGTGAGCTGCCATGAGCCACTGTGAGCAGCCGTCCAGTGGCCGGTGACCAATCTGCATCACCTGGGAAGAACACAATGATGATGCCAGCATGGGCCAGTGAGGCGATGTCCTCCACAACTAGACTGAAGAACAAAAGGACAGCAACTTGTCTGTCCCCCTCCCCCAATTCCCCAATAAAATCTTTTAAAAAAAGAAGACTTAAATTGACAGAGCTGGCATGATTTAACATTATAAAGACCTCATTTCTAACAAAAGCTACCTATAAATTCAATAGAATACCAATCAAAAGTCAGGCTTCTCTGAAGAACTTTATACGGAAATATAAAGGTCCATAGATAGCTTAGGACAATTGTGAAGAATACGAAAGGAGGAGAAAGAGACCCAAACCATCAGGTTATTAAGCTATAACATATTACAGGGCTGCAGTAATAACAAAGTACAGTATTAATACTAGAACAAACAGACCAATGGAAGGGGGACCAAAAAAATTTTTTTAAATATCTAAAAACCTACGTTTACATGGGCACATAATAGAGGTTACATCATAAGAAAGGACATATTAATACTAATAGTTGTCAATACTTATTAAGCATGTACTCATGTACTCTGTGCCTATACTGTTCTACATGTTTTACATGTATGAATTCATTTAATTATCACAACCCTAAGAGATGGAGACTATATCCTATTTCATGGAAGAGGAATTGAGGCAAAAGAGTTTAAGTAACTTGCCTGTCACTCATCTGGTAAGTGGCAGCCTTAGGGCTTGAACATAGACAGCCTGGCTCTAAGAATCTGTGCTCTTAACTATACTACACAGCTTCTCTAATTTTTAATTAATTCATTAGTTACTAATTGAAAATGGTGGAGGAAAATGTAGGTCATTACATCAAATCATTTACAAAAATAAACTTTAAAAACTCCAAATGGATTAAAAATCTAAATGCGAAAAGTGACTATTTAGTTAATAGAAGGAACTGTAGGATATCTTAATGAAGATATAGTGGGAAAGTATTTTTCAGAAAAGACCCCCAAACCACAAATTTAAAGGTAAAAACTAATACATTTAACTTGGAATTAAATATTTTTATTCAACACAGTGTACAGATTAAGTTAAATGACTTGGAGAAAGTATTTACCAAGTGTAAAACGAACAAGGAATGAAAATCTAGAGCATGCAAGGAATTCCTGCAAGTCAGGAAAACAGGAAATCATAAAAAAAATGGGGAAAGGATATATGCAATTCAGGAAAGGGGAAACCCAAATGCTTAATACATGAAAATTAACACAATGGGATATCACCTTACACTCATCAGATTGATAAACATTAGAAAACCAAACAATACCAAATGTTGGAGGTTGGTGGGGAGCAGAGAATATGGTGAGACAGGAACTTTTATTCAATGCTGTTGTTAAGTATAAGCTGGTGTAACCATTCCAGAGAACAATTTAGCAGAATTAGGTATGCCTTAGCATCCTACCCTGGTGTGGATAATCCAGAGAAATTTATCCATATCCAAAAGGAGACACCAGTATGATTTGTGGTAGTTAAAAACTGGAAGCAATCTAAGTGTCCATCAGTAGGGGAATGTATAAACAAAATGGGGTCTTAATGCACTTGGGATAGCACCACGCAGCACTCAGAGGTGAAAACTAGATTACTAAAGCATGTATGATCTCAAAAACACAATGTTGAGTAAATAAGTTTTTAAAAAATCACAGCATATAATAATTTATAAGAATTCAAAACCACTATATGTTTTTGAAGGTGACATATATGCAAACTTATGTAAAGTGGGCAGTAAAGACCTCTCTTTTAATACACCAGAGTGGATGTTTGAGAAGGGGAGTGACATGGGATTGAGAATAAGGAACGAGGCAAGATGATAAAACACAAGAAGCGTCTTGCACTGGCCCTCAGTGTGCCAAGAACTGAGAAGGGTGAACAACTCAATTCTGTGCACTTGAGGTTCTTTAAAAAAAAAAAAAATGCCAGTTCTTAGAGAGGATCCCACACCCAGGGTGCAGCGGATGGCAGAAGTTCCCACCAAGCTGGAGGGAGGCCTCGGATCGCAGGGGCGGGTGGGCGTCCCTTCCGGAGCTCCTCTTTCGCGGGGTCCGCGGTTCTTCAAGCGCCGCGAAAGAGGGCATTAAGGAGTAGAGCCCCCTTCCCGCTACAGCCCCTTGTAAGACGCCCCGAGGCTCCACCCTCCTCCCCAGTCGCCCTGCTCACCTGGCGACAGACCCGGGCGCGGGCCCCCGGACCGCCATGACCCGGGATCCGATCCACGCCGGAACCCCGCTGCCCCAGGGCGGGCTCTGGTCAGAGTACGAAGTCCGTGTGACAGACCGGAGAGGGCGGGGCCCCGGCGACCACAGACACGGGCGGATAGAGAGGAAGGCGCCGAGCGACGCGGCCGCTCCCGGAAGCGACCGACCTCCCCAAAAGCACCACAGAGTGCTGAGCACTGCATTCTGTCGACCTGGCCTAGAGGGCCCCCTTCTGGCTAGTGGAGGTTTCCCCTTTGACAAGAGATAGCGGGGGAAATGTGACTTAAGTATTTTATGGCAAATATTTTAGACTCTGAATAGAGTAGATATTTCATAATTCTCCTAAAGAAGCCATAATGATCTTTAAACAACATAGGTTAGAATAAAATCCAAACGTTTTCAAAGCATAAGTGATGGGGTCCTCCTCTAGGTCTTCATTGAATGGCCATTCTATTTCCACCTCAGGGTGTTTGCAATTGCAGTTGTCTCCGCCTGCATCACTCTTCCCCCAGCCTGGAGCTGGCTCACTTTCATCAACAGTCGCCTGCTCACCCTACCTAGACTATGTCATCCAGCCCCATCATTCCTTATTAAACTTTTATTTTCTTCATCATATTTATCACTATCATCTTGTTTCTTTGCTTACTGGTTGTCTTCCCCTACAAGAATAAATTTCCCTGGGCCAGCCGAGTGGCGCGTTGGTTAAGAGTTGGCTTGGTGGGCCGGCTGAGTGGCTCAGTTGGTTAAGAGCTCGCTCAAGAGTTTGAGCTCTGAGCAACAGTGGTTCGAGTCAGCCCGAGCTGAGCAGCCGTGAGCTGCCAACAGGTGGCGGGATGGCTCAGCTAAAAAAAAAAAAAAAAAAAAAAAGAAAAAAAGAGTTGGCTTGGGACGCCAACTCTGAGCAGCAGGGCCCCGGTTCGGATCCCACATGAGGGCCCCTGACGCTGCGCCCTCTACAGCTAAGATGGTGAACAACAGCTTGACCTGGAGCTGGGCTGCCATGAGTCGCGGGGGACAGGCCAGGCTACAGTGGAGCTGCAGTGGGCTGCTGTAAGCTACCTTGAGTGGCTGGCAGCCAGCGTGAGCAGCTGGCAGCTGGCGCCATAAGGGGCCGTCCAATGGCTGGTGAGCGACTGCCTCACCCAGGAAGAGTGCAATGATAATACCAACATGGGCCAGTGAAGCGACGTCCTCCACAGCTAGACTGAAGAACGAAAGGACAGCAAATTGTCTGTTCTCCTCCCCTAATTCCCCAATAAAATCTAAAAAAAAAAAGAATAAATTTTCCTGTAAGAAGTTTGACTCCATCTTGCTCATTGCTATATTCTCAGTACCTGTCAAGCCTGAAAAAGAAAATACCTACTAGAAAGGGCTCCTGGTGGCTCAAAAAATTTTTTAAAAACCACCACCAACGACAAAAACAAAACAAAACCCAGAGCCTAGTGGCTAACTGGACTCAAAATTAAAAACAAAAAAACAGAGCTTAACAACTGTTGCTAAATGGGCCTCTCATTCAAGCTGCTCTTCAAGGAGAAGCCTGCACTAAACTACCTACTGCCTGCATTGTGTTCCTGTACTGTGAGCCAACCTTTATAGAAGAGTTTCTGGAATTGTAGTTTAACCAATAGGACTGAGACTTTCCTCCTCCAATTGGAGCTGCACAGTTATATTCTTATTAGCATCCCCACTGACCAATGAGAGCAGCTCCATTACAACCAATCAGGACAGTGCTTTTTGGACCAATCAAAGTATGAAGACTTGGACTTCTCATTTGCATGAGAATGGACCAATCAAGGACTTCTCTCTATATACCAGGGGTGCCAAAAAATGTATACAAGTGGACACTTTGGTCAACTGTTGCTCAAGCAGTAGTTCCCCATAATTTGAAGTGTCTGGATGCTGATGGTAACCACTTTGAGTACCTCTTGTAATTGCAGAAGTCAATCATGACCTGTATTCATTATTTGTTATTAGTATATATTGAGTATTATAATTTTAATACAGTTTTCCTTTCTTAAAAAGTGTATATATATTTTTGGCACCCTCTGTATAAGTCAGCAGGGCTAGAGCTGAAATGTGGTGAGAGCAGAGCAGGGCAGGGCAGTCTAGGCAGAAAAGAACAGAGCTGCACCACTGAGCAAGCTGCAACACCAGGTGGAGCCATCTGTTCCACAGCCATTATGTTTCGTAATTGAGTCGTAACACTACTGAGGTGTTCCACAGCTATGCTGTCATGCTATATCACAACTGAGTTGTTCGCACTGAATACAATCTCCTTCACTGCACCCCAATTAGGAATTCCTGTTGGCATTGAATTGGCGCCCATGACCAGTGGTTGACATTAGAATACAGCTAACATGTAGTAAGTGCTTAATAAATATTTGTTAAATGTTGAAGAATGAAATGCTTATCAACTGATTGTAGTGCCCAAAGGGAGGTTAAAAATAGTTTAAGGAAACAAGTAGCATGATATCACAGGGCCTTAATTTTGAATCTGGTTGTGCCTTCCCATCTTCCTTCAGTCCTTATTGTTGATTACCTGCCAAATGCTCAACAAGATACCTGTATCACCTGTCTTCATGGTGCTGGCTATTTAGCTGGGAAGGCCAAGCAATTGACAATTACAGTTGTCTTTATGAAATGCAGTGGCAAAGGTACCATACAGCAGGGTTTCTCAACCTTGACACTATTGACAATTTGGGCCTGATAATTCTTTGTTGGGAGAGTAGGGAGGCTGTCCTGTGTATTGTAGAATGTTGAGCAGTATCCCTGGCTTCTACCCACTAGATTCCAGCAACACCACCCTGACCCAGTTGTGCCAATGAAAAAAAAACATCTCCAGACATTGCCAATTGTCCCTTGGTGGGTGTGGGTGGGTGTGAGTAGGAGCAAAATCTCAGCATTGCCCCACCTCCCCAGCATTAAGAATCACTGTCCCAGAGCCACAGAGGGGGCCATCCAACTCAGGATGGGAAAAAGGGGAGTCCAGGCTTTGTGGAAGAGAAGATGACTGAGTGATTCTTAGAGATAGCAAGAGCTTAACTTACTCCCAAGTATGATTTCCCAAGTATGTCTTTGTTACTTTGAAAAGCAAATAAATGTGTCAGGATGCAATTTCTGAAAAATTAATAAGGCAACCAAAGTATTAAGGCAAGCAACCTCACCTCTCTAGGGCAATCCAGGTTTATAGCTCTTGTTGCCTTTCATTCTCAGTGTTCTGGTTTGGTGTTTGGTGGCATTACTGTCACAGGGCCCCTCAACACTGTATATTACTTTAATCTTTCAAAAAGTATTGCTCTAATACCAAACTGGAATTAAAGTATGACCACAACTATGAACTATAGATGTAAATATCTGTATAGGAAAAACTATAATGAAATACAACAAAATTATGTATATATAATAATTATTATTAATATATCAGTCTTTATTTCTAGATTATCTTATAGGTAGGCCGGCCAAGTGGCCTGTTGGTTAAGAGCTGGCTTGGGATGCCAGAGGGCCTCGGTTCGGATCCCACATATGCGGGCCAGTGACACTGCCCTCTACAGCTAAGATGCTGAACAACAGCTCAACCTGGAGCTGGGCGGCCATGAGTCGCGGCGATGGTGTAAGCTGCAGCCCCTGCTGCAGTGGGTTGCCATGGGCTACCATGTGTAGCCAGCAGCCAGCGTGAGCGGATAGCAGCCGCTGTGAGCAGCCGTCCAGAAGCCAGCAACTGATCTGCCTCGCCCAGGAAGAGCGCAATGATGGTGCCAACTTGAGCCAGTGAAGCAACGTCCTCCACAACTAGACTGAAGGACAAAAGGACAGCAACTTCTCTGTTCCCCTTCCCCCAATTCCCCAGCGCTGTTCCCATCCCCCAATTCCCAATAAAAATCTTAAAAAAAAAAAGATTATCTTATAGGTAATTTTGAACTCTTTAATCCTGAAGTGGGGATAGTGGCAAATCTAATAAAATGCCTAAAATTTAAAAAATAATTCCATAGTATCAAACAGCCTGTGTTCAAATTTCCAATTGTCTCTTAACTGTGATTTTTTTTTACAGTTAAAAAAATCAGGATTTAAATAAGGTTCACACATTGCCACCGATCAATACATATTTTGAGACTTAATGTATAAATTGCTCCTCCACCACCTTAGACCAACCACTATCATTTCTCTCCTGTCCTGTAAAAACCTAACTGGTTTTCCCACTTGAATTCTTGCTCCTGCTCTAATCCAGTTCCTACATAGCATCTAGGGGAATCTGCAAAAATGTAAACCAGGTTAACACCTCCCTTAAAACCCTTCAGTGGTTCAAAAGGCTCTAGTGCCTCTGCCACACCTACCATTCCAATCTCTTTAGGGGCCAGGAAATAACCTGGTTCTCCTTCACTCTTCTGTGAAGATTGAAGGAAGATTTCTACTCTTCCTTTTGTCCCCAGTATAATGTCCCTTCCCCAGAAAGTCCTCTCCTGACCACTCTCTCTAAGAAGGAATCTATTATTGCCTCCCATAGCACCCCTTTTTTTCTTCTTATGGCATTTATCACAGCTTATTATATTTTCATTTTTTGTGTTTACTTCATTAATGCCTCTCTCTACAGACTATCAGCTCCATGAAGTCATGGACCATGCCTGTTATGTTCACCACTACTGCGTCTCTTTTGTCCAGAAACACTTAGTAAAGGTACAATAAATGTTTGTTGAACAAAGATGAGCTAGACAATCCCTAACCTCACAAAGCACAGAGGCCACTGTCTCTGCTCATGCTGTTTTTTATTAGGATTAAGCTTCTCCTTTTCCATCTACTAGACTTCTGGGCTCTACTTCGTCACTCTCATACTCTCATAGACAAAAGGAAAGCAGATTGGTCAAGAAAAAAAGGAAAGTAATTTGGTAATAACTATCAAATTTTAGATGATGCAGTAGTTTCATTTCCAGGACTTCTCCTATAAATATATTTACCCAAGAGCACAAAGCATTAATTATAAGTATGTTCCTGCAGCATGTAGGTAATAGCAAAATTCTAGAAGCAACCAGAATCCCTATCAAAGGAGGAGTGGTTAAACACAGTATGACCCAATCACTTTGTAGAATATACTTTGCAGCCATTAACAAGAGAGGAG